TCATGAGTCTTTTGGAATCATCTAAGATCATTTATTTATCAGAGGAGCCAAGTCTCTAACAATTGATCATCATTACAATATATATTGCTGTTACTTAGCACAATGTTATCCTGGTTCTACTCACTTCACTCTGAATCAGTTCATATAAGTCTTCCCAGGTTTTTCTGAACTCACCCCCATTCATCATTTCTCATAGCGCAATAGTATTCCATCATAACCATATACCACAACTTGTTTTACCATTCCCCAATTGATGGACATCCCCTCAATTTCCAATTCTTTGTCACCATAAAAAAGAGCTGCTATAAATATTTTTGTATATATAAGTCTTTTTCCTTTTCATTTGACCTCTTGGAGTACAGACCTAGCAGTGGTATTGCTGAGACAAAGGCCATGAATAGTTGACCTAGTTCATAATTCTACCGATAGTGCGTTAGTGTAGCTATTTTTCCACATCCCCTCCAGTACAAGATGCTTCTTTTACCACATCATCACAACTGTCCTGGATATCAGTGGCACTCTGAATGTTCATGAAGCTTGGACTCAGTGGCCAGCACCATTATCCCAGAATATAGAATGTATAGTATATTCCAGCATTTGCCTACTAGATTACCTTTGAATCCAGGTGTTAAGTTAACAAAATGATGAAGGGTCAATCAGTCCATCAATAAACATTTATTAAGCATCTACTATGTGTCAGGCACTATGCTAAGTGCTGGGAGTGGCAAGGTTGTCTCTGAATTTACCTTTTAGCATTGCTTCAAGTCTTAATATCAGACATCTCTGCATACCTCCATACCCTGCATCATAGATAGACGCATACATATATGTACACACACGTGTATACATGTAACATATATGTATGCATGTCTCTTCCAACATATTTAAGGTTTCTCTTTTCTCCTGTGCAATCCCATTGATAATGGAATAATGAGAAGAGGATAGTCAAATCATGCTAAAGGATATACACATGTGTGAGTGTTTGTATGTATGTATATATTTACCAAGTCTTTAGTGTAGGGAGCTTGCTGAAAGGTAGTTGTATCAACTAATTAAAATCAGCACCAAATCTGAAACTTTGAGTAAGAGAATTGCTTGGGGTTCTGGAGATCAAGTGACGTGCCCAGGTTCACATAATCAGTAGTTCTCAAAGCTAGGACCAGAAATCAGGTCTTTCTGGTTCCAAAACTAGCTTTATGTCTACAGTACATCAAAATGATGAGAGATGAGGTGAAGTTACCCTGGATGTAGAGGGAGCACTTGACCTCCCAATCTCTGAGTTCCAGAAATCACAGGTCTTCCTGATCCATCTAAACATTTATTAAGCACCTACCACAAGTGAGGAACTGAGCTAAGAGCTGGGGAAACAAAAGAGGCAACAGGTAGTCCCTGCCCTCAAGGAACTTACAATCTAATGGAGGAAAAACAAACAAATACATAAAAATGCTATATACAGGATAAATAGGTTTTAAAAAAGAGAGAGAAGGCTTTAATTTAATTAATTAAGAGGGGTTGAGAAAGGCTTCCTGGAGAATATGGGATTTGATGTGGAACTTAAAGGAAGAGAGAGAAGCCAGTAGGCAAAGATGAAGAGAGAGAACATTCTAGGCATGAGAGACGGCCAGAGAAATTGCCCAGAACTGAGAGATGGGGTGTCTTGATCCAGGAGACCTATGTCACTGGATTAAAGAGTACATGGCAGGTAGTAAGGTATAAAAAGACTGGAAAAGTAAGAGGAGGCTGGGTTAGGAAGGGCTCAATAATGTATGAAAAATACTTTGCAAACTTTAAAACACCACATAAATGTGAATTACTATTACTACTGCTGCTGCTGCTGCTACTACTACTACTACTACTACTACTACTACTACTACTACTGCTACTACTGCTACTACTACTACTACTACTACTACTACTACTACTACTACTACTACTACTGCCACTACTGCCACTACTGCTGCTGCTGCTGCTGCTACCACTACCACTTTTGGTATTCTGGATCTCAAAATCTTTGATGCATGTGATCCCCCTTCTGAGTAGGCACTCCACTGATTCTGACTCCATGAGACACATGATTTCTTCTGGTTCTGAGGCTTTGGAGATTGGGTCCCTAGGGGTTACACTGAACTCATGCTCCAAACCCACTTGTAACTTCTTCCCAAGATGGAGGAGGACAAAGTAGACCCATAAGATACTCAGTTAATAAGTACTAAGCTTCCAGCCTCCAAATCCCTAGAAACAGAGGCTCCTTAGTTTTGGTATTTCAAGTCTAAAAGCTCTGATGATATGAGTCCCCTTCAGGACTGTGAAGCTCCTTGTTACCTCCAGGATCAAATACAAAATCCATTATTTGGTGTTTCAAAGCCATTTATAACCTACCCCCTTCCTACTTTTCCTGTCTTTTTATGTCTTACTCCTTGTCACATACTCTTTGGAACTAATAATTTTGGAACTTTTAGAACTAATAACGACAAGAAGAAAGTCTGTTTTCTTCACAGCCCAAGTATAATTCTCCAAACCTTGTCAAAATGGAGATTACTACTCATTTGTGGTAGTTTAGGTGGGCACAAGTGATGCCATCAGAGGAATCAAAGTATTGACAAAGGTTACAAAGTCTTAGGCAAGAAAATGAAGATGATGGAGGGACAGGTTGTATTTTCTTTACTAATGCCCATTAAAGGCAAAGGATATAAAAGAGAAAAAATTACTTGGGAAGTAAACATTTGGATAAGAAGGTGGTATATGAGAATGAGATATACATTTCTTGATCATAGCTTAAAGTACTGGAATGACAGACTCCTGTTCAGGGATGGAGTGTACTTAACATAGGCTGGCAGGAATTTCATTGGCCTAGTGTTTTACAGGAAATCAAAATGGTTTTAAAATCAAAAGGATAGGGGAAGGAGTAAACTGCTGAAGTATATCTACCAAGTTAGATACCATAGAGAGTAGCTATGAAGAGAAAGTAGTAGCCATTGAGATATTCAGAAGTTTATGGAAGAAGTCCAGGAGAGGGGACACTAGTAAAACCTATGGCCTCAAATGTCTATACACAAACACCCAACAGCAAGAAGATCTAGAAGAGCTACCCTGAGGCAAACTTGACCTTGTAGTGTAGTTATTACTAAGACTTAACGGTTTGAAACCATGACTGAAATATGGTGGTAGATGGACATATACAAAAGAAACAGGTTAAGTAAAAGAGGCAGGGCGGCATTATGTAATAAGTGATATTCATGTGAGGAAATCTAGGGGGAAGAACAGTGATGAAGATTGGTAAAAGGAGAAACATAAGTAATTTTGTCATCAGAGTTTATTACAGACTACCTAGACAGAAAGAGGAAATAGATGAGGAGTTCCCAGAAACAGATCACAAGCAAACCTGGCACAGAACCATTATGTAATAATGTTGGGAGATTTCAATTGTCCAGACCCTTGCTGGAATTCTTCCTCTGCCAAAAGCAGAATAGCTAATAACTTTTCACTTATCTTAATAATTCCATTCTTCAAAAGGTGGAGAAATCAATAAGAGGAAACCTTATTTTGGATCAGATTCTCCCTGAAGAGGGAAGTTGCTGGCAAGCTGATTTCAAAGTGTTCAGAGGTAGAGTAGGTGAGATTGCATGCATTAGAATCCTACAGGGGATTCAGCCCAGGAGGGATGGATAACTCCCCAGAATATAATTCTGAAGAAACAAAGGAAACAGTTTTAATGAGGAGTTGTCTGAAGAGATATGGAATTCACCATATGAACTTAGTTCATATAATATATATACAAATCTACATTTATCTATCTATCTATCTTTCTATCTATTTATTTATGTTTCTGTGAACTCTTCATCTCTGTTCTTTCTCTGTCCAGGTGGTCTGTAATATATTCTGATGACAAAATTACTTCTCTTTCTTCTTCTATTGATTTTTACCCAAGTGATTTCCACTATAATCTATCTATCTATCTATCTATCTATCTATCTATCTATCTATCTGTCTGTCTGTCTGTCTGTCTGTCTGTCTGTCTATCTATCTGTCTATCTATCTATCTGATGTCAGCAAAGGCGGGTAACAGAAGATGAGCATCAGAGCCTGAAACCATCCTGTATAATATTGTCAAGAGTGCTAAAGCTTAGAATGAGTTGGGGCTAGAAAGGAAAATTAAGGATAACAAAAAAAGGTTTTCTTTAACTATTCCTAGGGGCAGCTAGGTAGTACAGTGAATAGAGTGTTGGGCCTGGAGTTCAAATTCAGTCTCAGACACTAATTGTGTGACCCTGAGCAAGTCACTTAACCATTTTTGGCTCAGTTTCTTCAATTTAAAATGAACTGGAGAAGGAAATAGCAAACCACTCCAGTATCTTTGCCAAGAAAACCCCAAATGGGGTCACAAAGAGGAGGACATGACTGAAATGACTGAACAACAACAAATATTGTGGGAAAGAAGGACTGCAAAAGGGATAGGACTGCTGGTTGGGGTAGATGGGATAATGATAACTGACAACAGAGAGAAAGCTGAGCTCTTCTCTTATTTTGCCAAGGAAAATGACCTTTGCTTTGAAAATGACAGAACAAAAGTGGCAAACAGAGAGTAGATGTTCAGGATAAGTAAGGAGGTAATAAGAGAGTATGTCATTGTCTTTGATAAATTCAAGTCCCCTGGCCCAGACAATCTGACATCCTTGGATACTGAAAGAAGTGATGTGTGTGATTGCCAAGCCATTGGTATTTGAAAGATGGTGGTAAGTGGGAGAGGCAGAACAGGATTGGAGAAGAGCAAATGTTGTTCCAATTTTTTTTTAAAAGGGAAGACAATAATGTCTTGCAAGTATAGACAGGTGACCTTGTCTTTTATTGCTTGGCAAATTCTAGGATGTCTGGGATGAGAAATGATTCTGGGATCATTAAAGAGACAGTGAATATCTAGAGAGGAAAGCACTGATGATAAAGAGCCAGTATGACTTCATCAAGAACAGGTCATGCCAAAATCTTATTTTCTTTTTTGACAGCTTTACTAATCTAATATAAAGGGAGTGTTGGGCAGTGGATAGACAGCTGGCCTCAAAACTTTAAAGACCTGATTTCAAAGTCCACCCCTGACACATATTGGCTGTATGATCCTGGGTAAGTAACCTCTCAGTGCTCTGGGCAGTTCTGTAAGACTATTTCCTCAGCTGGAAATTTCATCTACCAATAAAATCACAGGCCCAGGCCTGTGTAGATTAGGGAATGTTGTAAATATACTGTTCTCATGGATAAGATGGGGAGATGTGGATTGGGCAATAATACAATTAGATGGGTGTAGAACTAGTCAAAGGGTCACATTCAAAGAATAATCCTTATTAATTCACTGTCAACTTGGTAGGAGTTCTCCAGTAGAGTCTCCAAGAGAGCTACATTTAGTCCTGTGCTTTCCAATATTTTTAATCAGTGATTTGTATAAGGGCATAGATGAACTCCAATTTGCAGGTAACAAAATTTGTAGGCATAGTTAACACACCGGATAAGTCTAAAATACCTTGGCAGACCAGAGCCTTGAGTATAATCTTATAAGATGAAATTCAATAGAGATAAATGTAAAGTCTTATACTTGGGCTCAAAAAATCAACTTCACAGGGACATGATGTGAGAAGGAATGGATTGGCAGCACTTTGAAAAAGATCTCAGAGTTTCAGTGGGCTGCAGATTCAATGAATTAACCGTGTTGTATGGCAGTCCAAAAAACTAATGTGATCTTGGCATAGATTGCAGGAATAAGGAAGGATAAAGATGGTCCCTCTGTACTCTGCCCTGTCAGATCACAAGAAGTATTATGTTTTGTACTGAACATAATCCCCAAGTATGCTGATCTCCAGTTTATCCTGTATATATCTCGTTTGCAAATAGTTGCCTTCATATTGTTTCCTCCCTCTTCCCCCATTAGACTGTAGGCTCCTTAAGAGCAGGTACTGTCTTTTGCCTTTATTTGAATCTCTAGAGCTTAGCCCAGTGCCTGGAATGTTGTTGTTCAGTCCTTTCAATCATGTCCAACTCTTCATGACCCCATTTGAGGTTTTCTTGGCAAAGATATTGGAGTGGCTTGCCATTTCCTCCTCCATACCTGTCATATAGTGAATGCTTAATAAATGCTTATTGACTGATTGCCACCACAATTTAGGAAGGACATGGATAAACTAGAGAGTATTTAGGGGAAGGTAATCAGGATAAAGAATGTCCTTAAGGCTATGACATGTGAGAATTAATTGCAGGATCTAGGGTTGTTTAGCTAGAGAAGAGAAGATTCAGAGGTTGGGGGAGGGATTATTTGGAAAATGTCAGTCATGTGGAAGAGGAATCAGATATGTTCTGTTGAAATGAGTGGAAGTTATCAAGAGGCAAATATAGATTTGTCCTGAAAAAAAAAGGGAAGGGAGGATTGGAGTTGTCTAAAAGCGGCATGAGCTGCCTCTAGATGGGGGTGTGTTCCTCTGTGTTGGGAAGTGTTCCTCTACTTCTTCCAGCTGAGGTTAGATGATCACTAATTGAATATGTTATAGTGGGCATTCTCTTGGTTGGACTCAGAGGTCCTTTCAACTCTCTGTGATTCTGTGATTCTGTGGCTCTGAAACCTCAGAGTGTTATCTTGACTATGCTTTATAATGGGTTGCAGGACTATTCCCTCTCAGATTCCTTCCCAAATTCTAGAAGATACTCTAGAATATCCCCTTTCTGTGTCGGCTCAGGGGCAGCTGTGGAATTCCTAGGTGACTGATTAAGGTAGCTTGATATACCTTGGGTTTGGGAATGAGGAAGGGTTTCAGAATGTAAGAGCAGAAGGCACATGGGAGACCATCTAGTCACTGAAACTCAGAACTGGAAGAAACTTTAAAAGTCATCTAGTCCATCCCAGACCTAAATAGGAATCCCTTCTCTGACACCCTGTCAGGTGGCCATCCAGTTTCTTTAAAAAACAACCCCAAACCTCCAGTGACTGGGAACCCACTACCTAATGAAGCATTCCATTCTGCTTTTGAGCAGCTTTTTCGTTGAGGAGAAAGCTGCTTCTCTTCCATTTCCACCCCTTGGTACTCATTCTTCCCTCTAAATAAGTTAATATTTATAAAGTGCTGAGCACAGTGCCTGAAACATAGTAGGTGCTTAATAAATGCTTGTCCCCCCTCTCTTCTAAGGCCAACCATAATAAATCTGATTCCTTCTTCCACATAACAGCCTTCAGATACTTGGACATAGTTATTGTTTAGTTTAGCATTTATTAAAACACCTACTATGAGCAAGAAACTATGCTAGCCATTGGGAATTCAGTGATGAAAATGAAAAAAACCCCTCTGATTTCAAGGAATTTCTCTGTTCTGCTGGGGATACATGGTCACAGAGAAATAAGTATGAGGTAATTTGATAAGTATCAAGGGAGGCCTCACAGAAAATGTAGCCCTTGAGCTCAGCCTTGAATTAAAGTGAAGAGAGAGTACATTTCAAGTCATGAGTAAGGAAACTTTGTACAATGTACAATGGTACAACGTGGGATGTTTCATTTCAGAAACAGCTAGCAGCCCAGCCCAGTTGAGCCATTGAGTTTGTGAAGGATGTGAAATGAAATTATAAAAAAGTCTACTGCCAGATGAGGAGTCCGTATTTTATCCTAGAGACAATGGGAGACACTGAAAGTTTTTGGGTGCATTGGACCTCAGGAAGCTTATTTTGGCAGATGTGTGAAGGATGGTTTGGAAACAGGAAAGCTTAGAAGAAGGGAGACCAATTAATGGACTATTATAATAGCTGATAAGAGTCTGATCTAGGGTGATGGCTGTGTGAGTTTCTTCAGCATCCTAGCTATCTACTTCTTTTTATACACTAGTTTGTCAATATCCTTTCTCATGTGATGGCCAGATCTGAATACAGTACTCTAGATCAGCAGTTCTTAAAGGGACCTGGGGGGTCCTTAAGATCCTTTCAGGGAACTGAAAGGTCAAAACTATTTTGATAAAAATACTAAGACACTTTTTACCTGGTAAAATACCCTTCTCCTTTCCAATTACATACTTTGCATACTCAACTAAAACAATTAATTTGAACAGACTAAATGAAGAGGCAGATATAAGAATCTGTGTCCTTTTTAAGCCAGATATTAAAGAGATTTGCAAAAATACATAAAACAATGTCACTTTTCTCACTAAACTTTTTTTGAAAATTTAGCAATATTGTTTTAAGAAATACTTGAACAACTAAGTCATTTTGAATATTATAAATACACAAATTAAAAATAAAGGACATATGAAGAAAGACTCTATCTGCATCCAGAGAAAGAACTGATAAGTAGAAGTGTGTATAGAATAATTTTACATATATCTATTTGTGTCTAATGGTGGCTGTCTCTAACATGGGGTGGGAAGAAGGGAGGAAAAAAAAGAAATTTACATGATAACATTATTATATATTTAAAAGGAATAGCAAGTTGTACATAATAGATTTGTAGTTTCATGTGCAATCATCTTTTTTTTTATTATACATTATAGAAATGCTTGTTTTATTCCATAAATTAAAAATAAAATAAATAAAAAGAAAATATAGTTATTTTCCCACAAAATATATTATTTCTATTAACATGTATAACCCAAAGCCCATTGGTATGGAATTCTCTTCTCATTGTGGAGATCAATGCCTTGAGCTTGTGCGAGAGGAGGGGTGGAATTGGAGAGAGTAGGACAAGGAGAGAGAGGTTCACTCTCTTTGCTCTTGGGATTCTCTTCAAATCACTTTGAGTCTCTTCAGGTCTCCCTAGTTTCTTTGGGATTTGGTGCTTCTGACTTCAAGATCTGGAAGAGAAAGATGGAAGATGCTAACCGTTACTACTTCATTTTACTGAAGGGAAAACAAGACTCTGGAAGATGCTGACGTGAGAGGAGCTGGGCAGTGTCCAACATGTCGCTGTCCCCAGGTTGTTACACTAGAGACTTTGAGGAACTATCTAAGACTTTCTCTCTTGATTGAACAGTTATTTTGATCCCAAAGGGAGAACTCTTTCATTCTGTAGTGTCTGGCATGTATTCTTTCTCTAATTTCTGTTGGATATGAATGATATAATGGATAAATGAATTTCTTTGCTACCTGCTATATGTGTTCATTGTGGATCTGGTATTTGGTGGAATAGGAGTAAAGCCTTGGATATAGAGCTTGGGGTCCTGCTCCCTCCACTTAATGAACTTTGATCAAAAGTTAGATAGAACCTGAAAACCACCTCCTCTACACTAACAATATTTATGGGAGCAGAGAAATATAATTTTATTCTAGTACTCCCCTTTCTCTGAAGAGAACAGAGTGGCCAGGCTTCTGGCCCCAACCTTCTGCTTTCCCTCCTGTCAGGAAATAAAATTTCCCTGGGAGAAGAGTTGGGGAGAAGAGGCTAAAGATATTTGTTCTGTTTCTCTTCAAGCCACACAATGATATTCCCATGCTACATGTAGGGGGCAGATCTTGCTATATATATAAAAAGTTATTGTTATTTTAAAGTAAATTAGCAAATCTATCTTTTAAAAATCTATCCATTTTAACCTCTAATATGCTAAATATCAATAGATAAAACTCATGTAAACAGAAACTCTTTGGGGTCCTTAATTATTTTTAAGAAAGTAAGAAGACATGAGACCCCAAACTTTGAAAACCATGCTCTAGATGTGTCTTGACTAGGGCAAAGTAGGGCTATTGCTTCCCTCTTTCTGGGCACAGTACTTCTGTTAATGTGGCCAAAGATTTAATTAGTCTTTTTGGCTACCATTATATACTGCTGACTCCTATCATGCTTACCATCACCTAAAACTCTGCCTGGCTCTTTTTAAATATAAACTTTCCAGAACTGTGATTTCACTGGTATAGGGCCCTCCCACAGAGGAGACTGATCTGAATCTAACCTGCAACTTAGAGTCTAATGATAAATAAACAAACAAACCAACAAATAAATAAATGAATGAAGGGGGGGGGATCTAGTCCCCAAACCCCAAGATAACTTGCAAAGTGCAAGCAGTCAAAAATTATGTTCCTTTGGGCAAAGTACCCATATGTAAGGGTATGACTCCCCATGTGGACACAGAGACAGGAGAA